GGGCGGGAGGGTGACCCGTAGTCGCCGCAGGACGTGTAGGAAGCTCTCGTCATGGACAATGCGATGCGTGCGGTCGACCTGTACACACACAGACACACAGACACACGGCGAGCACACCGGCCTTGAAATGTGCAGCAGATTCTTGTCGTCGTGTCGTGTCGTGTTGTGTCGTGTGTTGCACTTGCCCGAAAGTAGAGCCGCCCCTCGAGGCTCAGCAAGGACGTGATGAAGCCTGGAAGGAGCCTGACTATTCTCTGGATGACGGTGCCGCTGTGCTGCGTGTCGTTCAACATGTTGGGCAGAAACGATTGACGACCAGCGGACTGAAGCTGCACACACCAGCCATTTGTGTCAGAGAGGGGTGGAGGTGGGTGCATACATTGCACTGCACTGCTTACATGTAGTTGTCCCATCGCCCTTCTCACAGCGCACTCGATGTATTCGTTGACGTCAGTGAGCACGTCCTTCTCTCGAGCTGACATGGCATGGCACACACCACACGCGCACCAATACCAAGAGTGAGGGCTCTGCGTGCCGTCTCACTTACATGAGTTGAGTGAGTGTTTTCGTGTGAGTGTGATCGTTTGCTCTTGCTGGCTGGTGCTCTCCTCGGGCAGTGGTGGGGCGGTGACGGTGATGGGCTCGGCGTCGATCGACGGATTGTCCATGTGTGTCAATGACAAGTGGCACACAAACAGCTTCATCCCCTCACACCGGTACCCACAGCAGGGCGCTTGTGTTGGCGTCAAAGCCCAACGCACTCGCTATCTGAGTCACAAGATAGGACACACATGCAACGCACACAGAAGCGCACTCGGCCTCGCGTACATCGTACCTGCCTCTGGTTGGTATAGATCAGTCGACGCTGCTTGTGTGAGTCGGACACAGAGGGTGGAATGCTGTTGACAGACAGACAGAATCAAACAAGCAATGAATGACTACTCGTGTGCGCCACTCACTCACTTGCGGCAAAGAGATGGACTCTCATGCCCTCATCCAGCTTCATCCGGTAGAGGTTGGTATTCGCCAACACCGAAGATGGGACGCTCGCCATGGCCGCCCGACTCATGACGGAAGGAGGAAAGAAGGGAGCGGAATGACGAAAGAGCCCACAATCAATGTTGACTCAATGGACGTGTGAGCGGTGTGAAGCACGTCAAAGTCACAGATCTTGAATGTTGCGTCATTGATGGAGTGACATCGCTTGTGAGCATTTACGTTTTGGCGAGAGGAATTGCAGAGGGGAGCACACTGGACAGGGCCACGCACACACGCATGGTTGGTCAGTCTCCACGCACACACCCATCGTTTCATTCCCTTCCCCTCTGCTGTGCTGTGCTATCTACGTAAGTCTGCCGTCCGTCCATCCATTCACTCAGCGACTCACGACCCCTTCGGCACGGCCGCAGCAGCCGCTGCTGCAGCCCCGCCACCGCCCCCGCCCTGCTGCTGCTGGCGGCCGAAGCTGAAGGCCACCTCGTTGCCACCGCCCCCTCCCGCCTTGCGGGGCGCCACCGCCGCCTGCTGCTGCTGCTGCTGGTATCTGGGCTCGGTCTTGTTGGCTTTGTGCAGTGCCTCCTTGTGTTTGCGCCTGTGTCGCCAGTGCTTGACGTCCTCCTGGAAGTCGGTCTCGGGGCTGAAGATGTTCCGGCACATGAAGTTCTTCTTGATCCAACGCGACTGATACACACACACACACACACACAGCCATTACACATAGAGGTGGGGCGATGTGAGAATGGGATGAGTGTGTGTGTCTGCGCGTCGGTCGGTTCGGGCAACCTGCAGCAGTTGCTCGAGGGAGGGGCGACATGAAGGGTCCTGAGTGAAAGAAAGAGACAGAGAAGACTTGCATAGCTGGATAGATGGGTGTCCCTTTCCAC